TAGGGGTAGGTGGATTTGCAATTCATCAAATATGAAGAATTGCAATTTTCTCAAAACAAAACTGTAAAAATTTTCACTTCTTAGAATCAAGTGGGAACCGAATTGCAATTTCTCTATACCAAATTAAACACTCCAAATGGTAGGAGTGACAATTCGAACTACCCCATCCTATTAGGCCAGTAGCCCCACTGTGGATTGAAAGTTTTTGAATTTTTAGTGATAAGATTTTATTAAAATGTGTTTAATACTTTATCAAGAAAAGATTGTTAAGTTCTCAATTGTAATGTTTCACTTGTTTTACTCTAACTCTAGTGTTCTTAGCTACAAATAAATGGCTTTTTTTACTTAAGATTTCTGTCTTAGTTTTAGATCCAACAGTTCTTTGCTGGATCGATTGTAACACCCCAGATTTTCAAGACTTTTAAAACTTATATAAAGATAGAATCTCATAAATCCCAAATTACGATACAAAGAGTACGGGGTGCTATGCCACACCCGAGCTAGAGAACTCGGGCGCACAGGCTAAATTCTAAAACCTCAATCAGTATCAATACTAAATCATGGCACGCAGGCCGAAAAGGGAAAACTATCTAAGCTACGCCTCAAGCTTCTAACGCGCTCCAGTGATCTACTCGTCTATGCCTGAAAGCCAAATATATCTGTTCAGCGAGAGATGCTGGTAACCCACTCCAACGCGTTGAAATACAATACATATAGACATATATATAGATATACGAAAACCAATTTGAAGCATGAAGATATATCCTACGAGAATCTAGTTTTTAAAACAGGGATCGACTCAACAGATAGGGCTAAGCACAGACAGCAGTTATACCAAGCATATACAGTTTACAACAGGCAAGACAGGTAAGATAAGCACAATTAATAATCATAATCCAGCATATACGATTCCCAGTATAAAACCCATAGTCACATCCCCAAGGTACTCATAACAAAAACTCATCCGTATCTCATCACATAGCACACTTTGTTGGCGCCACAGGACCAATCGCATGCCCATACATGAGGGTCAGCGCATATAGCTCTGACACGGCCCCGCCGCACCCTGCCCTGTATCGCGTAACACGGAGGGGTCGATCGCAACCGACCGATGAACCGCAGCTCATCATAGTTTGATCGCAACCAAACAGTGGACCGCAGCCTAAGAGTATGTCATCTGACCGCAGCCAGGAAATATGCACCGCAGCTCATGTAGAAACGTTTGATCGCAACCAAACGGTGGACCGCAACCCAAGAGTGTAAATCTGACTACAGCCAGCTTCTGAACCGCAGCTCAGGAATAACCAATCCGATCGCAACCGAATTGGGGTATCATGCACACATAACACATAGCAAGCACATGCAACCCACATTAACACATTGGGAAGGGGGAGAAACGTATAACAAAACCTATGCGTGATCCTTCACATACTAAGAATAATCCTAAGGGGTTCATACTGCTTTCACCTAGGTCAACGGGATACCAATTCAACTAGCATGCAATATATAAGACTCACACAACCTACGAACGGTACCCGAAATATCAAACTAGACAAAGGCACGATAGACGGAATCCGTTGGGACGCCACGGGGGTCGGGGGAACATCAAACGTGGAAGCCAAAATCCCAAGGTGGGGTACAAACCAGCAGGTAGCCGGTGGGTGAGGGGTCACCCGCCGGCTGCCCGCCGGCGGCACTATTCCGGGCAGCGGGTGCCCGGCGGGCAGCTGCCCGCCCGCCGGTTGCCCGCTACCGGCGTTGCCCAAATAGGCCGCGGGTAGGTGGCGGGTCCCCTACCCCCACTGACTCTTTTTCACCAAAAACGCCCCGGGAACCTTTGTGGAACCCGAAACCATGCTTAGACACTTTCAAATGCAATTGATAACACACGTAGACAATTAACGGATCAAAGATCAAGAAACATATGGCACATAACCTATCATGCTTTTCTAAACATAATCAACACCCAATCATGCGAATTCCCACCCAATATACCAAGAATAATACCATACGAATTCCACGATATACCTAGGGTTCTAATTATTTTTAAATCAACAAGAACACAATTCATCTTCCAAAATCAAGATTCGGTAGGAATATCATATAACTATCAAGAACCTCATATAATCATTAAGAACATCAAGAACACCATATAATTATCAAGAACGTTATATAATCGTCAAGAACACCATAATTATCAAGAACCTCTCATCATCAAGATCACCCATGGAATCATCCCACCAATCATCAATAATAATATCACAAATCATCAATACACAATAATATGGGGAAATCCTAAGAGGGGAATCATAGCTATGAAAATAGGTTTTGTTGAGACATGGGTTACCTTTTAGCCTTAATTAATTCCTTGGCTATGAAGGGTCTTTCTTGAAGCTTTCTTCTTTCTTGATTTCTCCTAGGGGAATTCTTGGAACTTCTTGTGTGGTGAGGGATTATTGTGGTGGGAATTCTAGGTGCTTCCTTATGTTCCCTATTTATATATCTAAGAGTCTTACTTATGCCTAATTACTATAGGTTTGCTAACTCTATTCCTTTTGGGACTAAGGATTGGGTTTAGAGATAAGGGCTCGTGGACTATGGTGGGCCTTTCCTAATTAATTATTGTGATTTAATTCTTTCTTTTGGGTAATTGGTTAAATGATTAATTGGTTTTAGGGGTCGTAACGCGGGGTGTTACACTCTCCCCCCCATAACAGGAAGCTTCGTCCCCGAAGCTTGGTCCTTGTCGAGTGACTTCTTCTTAGTTACCTGGTGTGAAAAGTTCGGGGTAGCGTTCCTTCATTGTGTCCTTGAGTTCCCATGTCGCTTCCTCGGTCCCATGGTTGGTCCAGAGGACTTTCACCATTTCTATGGCTCGACGTCGGGTGGTTCTTGTCTTGGTGTCCAGGTTTCTCACTGGTTTTTCTTCGTATACTAGTGACTCGTCGAGGTCCACGACCTCGGGTTGAAGCACGTGGCTTGGTTCGTGCACGTATTTCTTTAGCTGGGATATGTGGAATACGTTGTGTACTCGTTCTAGTTCAACATGTAGAGCGAGGCGATAGGCTAGGTTCCCAACTCTTTCTATGATTTCATAGGGGCCGATAAATCGTGGGCTGAGTTTCCCTTTTCTTCCGAATCTCATTACCCCCCGTGTGGGCGAGATTCTCAACCAGACCTTGTCCCTGGTGTTGAATTCGGCTTGTTTCCTCCTTAGGTCGACGTAGGACTTCTGGCGGTCCTGGGCAGCCTTCATCCTTTCCTGGATGTGTTTGACCTTGGTTATGGTATCTTGTAGGTATTGGGGCCCTAGTGCTACTGGGTCGACCATGTCTTCCCAACATAAGGGGGTTCTACACTTCTGTCCGTATAAAGCTTCGTAGGGCGCCATACGAATGCTTGCGTGGTAGCTGTTGTTGTATGAGAATTCAATAAGGTCTAGGTGCTCCTCCATGTCCCTTGAAAGTCTAACACACAGGCTCTTAACATATCTTCGAGAGTCTGAATGGTTCTTTCGGTTTGGCCGTCAGTGGTGGGGTGGAAGGCGGTGCTCAATTTTAGTTGAGTCCCCAAGGCTAATTGCAGCGATTTTCAGAATTGTGAGAGAAACCGAGAGTCTCTATCGGACACGATGTTCCGGGGGACTCCGTGGTACTTCACTATTTGGCTCAAGTAGGCTTGGGCCAGTTGTGTCATTGTCCATGTTTCCTTCATGGCAATGAATCGTGCCGTTTTAGTTAGTCGGTCCACTATGACCCAAATTTTATCCTTGCCGGTTTTTGTTGGGGGTAACCCTCCGACGAAGTCCATGGATATGGAATCCCACTTTCCTTGTGGTATCTCAAGGGGTTGTACGAGTCCCCTGGGTTTGCATCGTTCGGCCTTCACCCTTAGGCAATTCAGGCATTTGGCCACGAAATCTGCGATTTCCCTTCTCATGTTGGGCCACCAAAACGACCTTTTCACATCTTGGTATAGTTTGTCACCCCTGGGTGAACTGAGTATGGGGAGTTGTGCCTTTCCTCCAAAATCTGATGTTTCAGGTGGGGGTGCGTTGAGGGCACGCACCACCTACCTTGGTAACGGAGACTGCCGTCTTCGTGTATTTCGAAGGGCCCTTCCTTCCCCTGGGTTAGGTCGAGACGGATTTTATCTAGTTCCGGATCCTGCTGTTGTCCTATTTTGATTTCCTCGAAGAGTGTAGGTATGATTTGCGTGTTGAATAAGTGGACGTCGGGGTGGACTTGATCTTGCTCTATTATTTCCAAATTCAGTCTTTGGAAGTCCTTGTACAACTGGTCCGGTAGGATCCAGGTGGTGTTGAGGGAGTGGTTAGTCTTCCTGCTTAGGGCGTCTGTCACAATGTTAGCTTTCCCCTCGTGGTATTGGATGTCTAGATCGTAGTCCTTTATGAGTTCTAGCCACCTTCGTTGTCTCATGTTTAGGTCTTTCTGGGTGAAGATGTACTTTAGGCTCTTATGGTCCGTGTAAATCTTGCATTGCACCCCATATAAGTAATGCCTCCAAATCTTTAGTGCGAACACGATAGCGGCTAGTTCGAGGTTGTGGGTGGGGTAGTTCTCTTCGTGGGTTTTGAGTTGCCTGGATGCGTATGCTATTACCCTGCCTTTTTGCATTAGCACGCACCCCAATCCCGTTTTGGACGCGTCACAGAAGACCTCGAACCCTTCCTCCCCGGAGGGGATGGCGAGCACGGGTGCCGTGGTCAGCTTATCCTTCAATTCTTGAAAGGCCGAGATGCAGTCATTGTCCTATCGGAAGGGGGTTTCCTTTTTCATGAGTTTGTTGAGGGGTTGGGCTGATGAGAAGTATGATTCAAACTTGAATTAATCAGATAATTACTACATTATTAAAAGAGGTTTAAACAACGTAAACCTCTCCTAATTATCAGCTTTGACTAGACTACTTAACTAGTGCCATACAAATACTAACATTATCATAAGCTAATAATATAACATTATTGACACACCCCCTCAAGCTCAAGGTGGGTGCGCAACTACATTGAGCTTGGTACGTAGAGCTGAAAATCGCGGGCCCGGAAGGGGTTTGGTGAAGATGTCAGCTAGCTGATCCTTGGTGGACACGAAGTTAACAGCAAACTCCCCTGAGGCGACCTTGTCCCGAACAAAGTGAAAATTGATCTCAACGTGCTTGGTCCTGGCGTGGAACACAGGATTAGCGCAGAGATAAGTGGCACCGAGGTTGTCACACCACAGAGTCGGAGGCTGGCCCGAATGTAACCCAAGTTCCCGAAGAAGAGAAACAATCCATGTGACCTCAGCCGAGACATCGGCTAAGGCTTTATATTCTGCCTCAGTTGACGAGCGAGCTACTGTGCGTTGCTTCCGTGAGAGCCAGGAAATGAGATTGTTGCCTAAAAAGACTGCATAGCCGCTGGTGCTCTTCCTATCTAGGGGGCAGCCAGCCCAGTCGGAGTCGGAGTAGGCATGAATTGCTGAAGAAGTAGATGGTGATAGACATAGCCCAAAATGCAAGGTCCCCTTAACATAGCGGAGTACACACTTGACCAGGCCCAAGTGCTCGTCAGTGGGTGAATGCATAAACTGCCATAGTCGATTGACGGCAAACGACAGATCGGGACGAGTGATAGTGAGATACTGAAGGGCCCCTACGATGCGGCGGTACTGCGTCGGATTGTCATAGGGTTGTGATGCGGAAGTGGCACTGGTAGACACTGCTGCTGGAGTTGTGAGTGGCTTGCAGTCTGACATACCAGCCCGATTTAGGATATCTACCATGTACCGTTTCTGTGAGAGCAGATAGCCACCGTTAAGAGCCAGTGTTTCAATGCTAAGGAAGAAGCCCGGAGTGCCGAGATCCCTGATTTTGAACGCGGTGGAGAGGCGACGTAGCAACACATCTAATAGAGGTGTATCGTTTTCCATCATAATTATGTCGTCTACATAGACGAGCAAGAAGACTCGAGACTGCCCGTCCGTGTAGTGAAAGAGTGATACATCGGTCTTTGACGGCTGAAAACCTGTAGAAATCAGAAAATCATGCAGCCTCTTGAACCAGGCACGTGGAGCCTGTTTGAGACCGTAAAGTGAGCGTTGAAGGTGACAGACATAGTCAGGGTGTGAGGAATCCTCGTACCCAGGTGGTGGTTTCATGTACATAGTCTCGGCTAGATGACCATTGAGGAAGGCATTGTGTACATCTAATTGCCTGAGAGTCCAACTGCTGGACACCGCTAGTGATAGAAGGAGTCGCACCGTGGTAGGTTTGACCACTGGACTGAAGGTGTCGAAAAAATCTTCACCGGCTACCTGGTTAAAGCCCTTGGCCACCAGGCGAGCCTTGTAGCGCTCTATAGAGCCATCTGCAGTGCGTTTGGTGCGGAACACCCACTTGCACCCTATGATATTCATGTTAGCTTTAGGAGGTACAAGCCTCCAGGTGCCGTTGTGCAGGAATGCATTAAATTCCTGATCCATAGCATCCCGCCACTCGGGATGTCCTACGGCTTGTGAATAACATGTCGGGTCAATTGTCGTGGTTAAAGCATGAAACTGCTCGTTTGTGCCCCGAGTCATGTGTCGCAGTCGCATCACATGCTCCTGAACTGGAGCTGCTTGGCGTTTAGTTTTACGCGTCTTAGCCGGGGCAGTCCTGGATGGGCCTTCTATTGCCAAAGGCGCTGAACCCGGAGTGGGAGGTAAGGGCCCGGATGAGGGCGGGGCAACTGCTATGGCTAATTCCGGTGCCGTTGGTGTTATTATGGGCCCAGCTGCCCACGGAGCTGGTGATGATGCCAGTGACTGTTTATCCTACAGTGTAGAGTCTGAAAAAGGAAAAGTAGATTCGTCAAATCGGACATGACGACAGATGTATACTTTTCCACTAGTTAGATCCAGGCATCTATAGCCCCTATAGCTAGGAGGGTAACCTAGGAAGACACACGGGCTTGAGCGGTACTCTATCTTGTGCCTGTTATACGGCCGAAGATATGGGTAACACCTGCAGCCAAAGACCCGTAGAAACGTGTATGGGGGTGACGCTTTGTATAGGCGGTAGTAGGGGCTTTCAAAATTCAGGACTGATGAGGGAAGGTAATTTATGAGACACGTGGCAGTTTCGAAGGCGTAATCCCAGTATTGCAAGGGTACTGACCCTTCAGCTAGGAGAGCTAAACCGGTTTCGACAATATGTCTATTTCGGCGCTCAACTTTGCCATTCTGCTCATGCGTGTAAGCGCATGATTGTCTGTGGTTAATTCCGAGGGTTTGAAAGGTTTTGTGTAACTTTTGATACTCTCCACCTAAGTCTGACTGAATAGATTTGATAGAACGCATGAATTGGCGTTCTACCATGACTCTAAAGGACTCAAACACTTTATAAATATCTGATTTTACCCGTAAGGGATAAAACCAGCAGAATCGAGTACAATCGTCTACGTAGAGTACGAAATATTTAAAACCGCTACTTGAATGGATCGGGGCTGGTCCCCAAATATCCGTATATAACAAATCAAGTACATTTTTACTAGAATTGGCTACTCTATCTAACGGAAACCGTGACGCTTTTCCCATATGACAAGCAGCGCATGATCCAAAAGACTCGGTTTTATTGCGAAGGACAGGACACACTTGTAGCACTTTATTGAGGACTTGACTGTGAGGATGGCCCAATCGACGATGCCACATCACTGGAGTGGTCTGGGCACTAAGGAATGCGAAATGAAACTGGGATAACGGAAGCTTGTATAGTCCTCCCGAGGTGAGGCCTTTAAGCAGAATTTCCTGCGTTTTCGAATCCTTCACAACAAAACAATGTTTATGAAATTCAAAGAAAACATCATTCTCATTAGTAAATCTTTGAACTGACAACAACGGAACTGACAAATTTGGAACGTGCAATACATTTGACATATTTAACTGTTTAGACACGGAAGGTATAGATGCGGATCCAACATGCGAAATAAGCAAACCTGTGCCATTACCGACGCGCAGGACATCTCCACCATTGTATTCTGATGCATGGGAAAGCATAGAGGCATCCGGTGTCGCGTGGGCCAATGCTCCGGTATCCAGAAACCACGAGCCGGCAGCCGAGACCACATCGTCGCCGGTGGCCGTTAAATTCGCCTGAGGTGCCGGTTGGGAACTGTAACGCTTGTTACATGTCAGTGCACCATGCCCATGAGCCCGGCAGATTTGGCACCTAATCTGCCCACCACCACGTCCGCCATTGCGTCCGCCACCACGCCATTGACCGCCACGATTGCCCCGATTGCCGCGGCTTGAATTGCCGCGTCTGCCACCAGAGCCGGACTGCTGACTGCCCTGCGCAACATACAACGCTGCAGGTGCTCCCGGTGTGATATCATCTGCTGCAATGAATTCTTGAGCCATCAAGAAATCGGCAAGTTGGGGCAACGTCACTGGATTGCCGGAGACCGTAAGCGATGATGCCATACTCCGGAATTCGGGGCGGAGACCTCGGAACACCCTGAGGTTCTGCTCATCTAGGGATAATGGCCGGCCGGCTAACGAGAGGGCTTCTACGATTAATTGCGCCTGGCCAATGTAATCCGCCGCCGTCATATTCCCTTGCCGCAAGGACTGAAACTGTCCGAGAAGGTTCAAGCACCTGGCACGTGAACTGGAGCCGAGAACGGTGGTTATGGAATCCCAAACCTGTTTGGAGGTATCTCGACCGACAGCAAGGTGTAACACTTCGTCGGTCATTGAGGACACCAGCAGCGAGAGAATTGAGGCATCTTGGTGCACCCATGTTTTGTACTCTGGATTCGGAATGTGCGTCGAGATCGCCACACCGGAGGATGAATCGGCGGTCGTCGGACTGGCCATGGTCGGAGCCGGACACGGCGTTTCTCCGGTGACGAATCCCAATAATTCCTGTCCCTTGAGAAACGGGACTAATTGAGTGCGCCAGAACAAAAAATAGCGAGACGTGAGTTTGATAGACACAAAATGATGTGCCGAGGCCAAGGAGTTTGACGCGGTGGTCGAATTGGGGTTAGAGGTGGTGATGGTTCTTTCCGACGAGTTTGTCGACATTTTTGGGTGAGGGGAGAAAAAAGAGGAGGATCGAACGTGAGGCGTTACTGATACCAGATGAGAAGTATGATTCAAACTTGAATTAATCAGATAATTACAACATTATTAAAAGAGGTTTAAACAACGTAAACCTCTCATAATTATCAGCTTTAACTAGACTACTTAACTAGTGTCATACAAATACTAACATTATTATAAGCTAATAATATAACATTATTGACAGGGCTATCCTGGTGAAGTCGGGTACAAACCTCCTGTAGTAGCCAGCCAAGCCTAGGAAGCTTCGGACTTCTGAGAGTGAGCTCAGTGTGGTCCATTCCTTAACTGCACGGATTTTGGCGGGGTCCACCTTAATTCCTTCCTTAGCTATCACGTGGCCTAGGAAGGCCACACTGTCTTTCCAGAATTCGCATTTAGTGAACTTGGCGTATAGTTAGTGCTCTCTCAGGGTCTGCAGGGTTATGCGGAGGTGTCTTTCATGTTCTTCCTTGTTTCGGGAGTAGACTAGGATGTCGTCAATGAATACAATGACGAAGTCATCCAAGTGGGGTCGGAATACTCGGTTCATGAGGTCCATGAATATGGCGGGTGCGTTGGTGAGTCCGAAGGGCATTACTGTGAATTCATAGTGGCCGTAACGTGTCCGGAAGGCTATTTTCTGAATGTCTGGTTTGGCTACTTGTATTTGGTGATATCCGGCCCTTAGGTTAATTTTTGAGAATACCCCTGCCCCTTTTAGTTGGTCGAACAAGTCATCGATCCGGGGGAGGGGGTACCTATTCTTTATTGTGACTTGGTTAAGTTCCCGGTAATCGATGCACAGGCGCATGCTTCCATCCTTCTTTTTAAAAAATAGTACTGGTGCCCCCCATGGGGACGTGCTGGGGCGGATGTACCCTTTATCTAGCAATTCCTATAGTTGTGTTCTCAGTTCCTTCATTTCTTTTGGTGCCAACCTGTAGGGTGGTTTAGAGATCGGGGCAGCGCCAGGTATGAGGTCTATGGTGAACTCGACTTCTCTGACTGGGGGTGCCCCGGGGATTTCGTCCGGGAAGACGTCGGTAAATTCGTTTACCACTGGAATGGTTTGTGGTCCGGGGGTTTTGGTGTTGAGGTCCTCGACCGAGCATAGGAAGGCCTCGCTTCCCTTGTTTAGGTATTTCTTCATTTTCATCATGTTCACCAATTTGATCCCTGATTCCTGGGGGGTCCCGCGGTGTGATACCCTTTTACGGTTTGGTCCCCGTAGGACCACTTTGTGTTTTCCGCATAGGATTTGCGCTTGGAATTTCCCTAGCCAGTCCATGCCCAAGATCACTTGTACCCCATCCAGTTTGAATTTTATTAAGTTGTTGGGAAATTCCACCCCTTGGATGGTAATCATTACGTTCTAGTACATGCGGTCGCATTTTATGATTTCGCCGGAGGCCACCTTGACCTGAAGTCGGACCTTGGTGCTGGTGTTGAGGCCGAGCTGAGTGGCAAACTCGGTTGCTATAAACGAGTTGGTAGCCCCTGAGTCAAACAATATAGTGGCGGGGGTGGCGTGTACCAGGAAGGTTCCGGAGACTATGTTGTTGTCTCCGATCCTGGCTTTGCTTAGAGTAAGGATCCTTTCCTGAATGGTTGGCGTTGAGACCTTGTGAGGTGAGATGGCCCTAGGGTTCTTAGGCCCTCGGGTGGGGTTTGTGTGATCCCCCTTAGGTTTCCTTTTGTACCCCAGACGTGTCTCCCGGGGTTGGTTTGATACTTGTTGTAGTTGGGATGCCTTGGCATAGGCTTCCCCGAGGGTTCTTGGCTCTTGTGTGGCCAGGGCTTTTTGGTGTTCGGGATCAAGGCCTGTTATGAACTTCTTGATCTTGATCCTCTCGGTGGGTACTAGCTCTGGGATGAGGCGGGCCAGCCGGTGAAATCGTTGGTAGTATTCCGTGATTGGGGCTGCACCTTGTTTTAGGTGGAGGAACTCTTCATATACGGTGGCTCTTAGATGATTGGGGTAGAATTGTTCTCGTAGTCATGTTTTTAGGGTTTCCCAGTTAAATTCGTGGTTTTGTTCACATGCGGGTCCCTCGTGGGCCCACCAGGCATCGGCCTCGTGCCTGAAGTAGAAGGAGGCTATTCTGACTTGGTGGTCTTCTGGGCATTCGGTTGTCCGGAATATCTTGTCAAAAGTTCCGATCTATTCCTCGAGGACCGTGGGGTCTTCGTTCCCCGAGAAGGTGGGTGGTTGATGCGCCGAGACTTGGTGGTGGATTTCCAAGTTCTCGTTTGTTGGTAAGGGTTGGGGAATGGTAGTACTCAGTGCCTGGGCAATTTGGGCCAGGTGTTGTAGATTCTGTGTCAAGAATTGCTGAGTGGGGAGTTTCGGTGTTCCTGTCTGTCTCCTTTTCGGTGCCATCCTGGTGTTCATAGGTCGATGTTATTTTGTATTCTCACCTTGATGCAATAAGTGAAGGGGGGACTTTCTTTAAGTCAGAGAGGGATTAAGTGAGGGGGGTTATGTGTAGGTTTCACAATCTCACCGCGCGTCCTACGATTCCTAAATCTTATGTTCTTAAGTACCTAGAGTTTAAGCTTAGTGCCCTAAAGTCTGGTCTTAGGAGTCTCATCCTAGGGTCAAACTTAGGCTCTGATACCAACTGTAACACCCCAGATTTTCAAGACTTTTAAAACTTATATAGTAAAGATAGAATCTCATTAAATCCCAAATTACGATACAAAGAGTACGGGGTGCTATGCCACACCCGAGCTAGAGAACTCGGGTGCACAGGCTAAATTCTAAAACCTCAATCAGTATCAATACTAAATCATGGCACGCAGGCCGAAAAGGGAAAACTATCTAAGCTACGCCTCAAGCTTCTAACGCGCTCCAGTGATCTACTCGTCTGTGCCTGAAAGCCAAATATATCTGTTCAGCGAGAGATGCTGGTAACCCACTCCAACGCGTTGAAATACAATACATATAGACATATATATAGATATACGAAAACCAATTTGAAGCATGAAGATATATCCTACGAGAATCTAGTTTTTAAAACAGGGATCGACTCAACAGATAGGGCTAAGCACAGACAGCAGTTATACCAAGCATATACAGTTTACAACAGGCAAGACAGGTAAGATAAGCACAATTAATAATCATAATCCAGCATATACGATTCCCAGTATAAAACCCATAGTCACATCCCCAAGGAACTCATAACAACAACTCATCCGTATCTCATCACATAGCACACTTTGTTGGCGCCACAGGACCAATCGCATGCCCATACATGAGGGTCAGCGCATATAGCTCTGACATGGCCCCGAAGCACCCTGCCCCGTATCGCAACATGGAGGGGTCGATCGCAACCGACCGATGAACCACAGCTCATCATAGTTTGATCGCAACCAAACAGTGGACCGCAGCCCAAGAGTATGTCATCTGACCGCAGCCAGGAAATATGAACCGCAGCTCATGTAGAAACGTTTGATCGCAACCAAACGGTGGACCGCAGCCCAAGAGTGTAAATCTGACCGCAGCCAGCTTCTGAACCGCAGCTCAGGAATAACCAATCCGATCGCAACCGAATTGGGGTATCATGCACACATAACACATAGCAAGCACATGCAACCCACATTAACACATTGGGAAGGGGGAGAAACGTATAACAAAACCTATGCGTGATCCTTCACATACTAAGAATAATCCTAACGGGTTCATATTGCTTTCACCTAGGTCAACGGGATACCAATTCAACTAGCATTTAATATATAATACTCACACAACCTATGAACGGTACCCGAAATATCAAACTAGACAAAGGCACGATAGACGGAGTCCATTGGGACACCACGGTGGTCGGGGGAACATCAAACGGGGAAGCCAAAATCCCAAGGTGGGGTACAAACCAGCGGGTAGCCGGTGGGTGAGGGGTCACCCGCTGGCGGCACTGTTCCGGGCAGCGGGTGCCCGGCGGGCAACTGCCCGCTGCCGGCGTTGCCCAAATAGGCCGCGGGTTGGTGGCGGGTCTCCTACCCCCCACTGACTCTTTTTCACCAAAAACGCCTCGGGAACCTTTGTGGAACCCGAAACCATGCTTAGACACTTTCAAATGCAATTGATAACACACGTAGACAATTAACGGATCAAAGATCAAGAAACATATGGCACGTAACCTATCATGCTTTTCTAAACATAATCAACACCCAATCATGCGAATTCCCACCCAATATACCAAGAATAATACCATACGAATTCCACGATATACCTAGGGTTCTAATTATTTTTAAATCAACAAGAACACAATTCATCTTCCAAAATCAAGATTCGGTAGGAATATCATATAACTATCAAGAACCTCATATAATCATTAAGAACATCAAGAACACCATATAATTATCAAGAACGTTATATAATCGTCAAGAAAACCATAATTATCAAGAACCTCTCATCATCAAGATCACCCATGGAATCATCCCACCAATCATCAATAATAATATCACAAATCATCAATACACAATAATATGGGGAAATCCTAAGAGGGGAATCATAGCTATGAAAATAGGTTTTGTTGAGACATGGGTTACCTTTTAGCCTTAATTAATTCCTTGGCTATGAAGGGTCTTTCTTGAAGCTTTCTTCTTTTTTGATTTCTCCTAGGGAAATTCTTGGAACTTCTTGTGTGGTGAGGGATTATTGTGGTGGGAATTCTAGGTGCCTCCTTATGTTCCCTATTTATATATCTAAGAGTCTTACTTAGGCCTAATTACTATAGGTTTGCTAACTCTATTCCTTTTGGGACTAAGGATTGGGTTTAGGGATAAGGGCCCGTGGACTATGGTGGACCTTTCCTAATTAATTATTGTGATTTAATTCTTTCTTTTGGGTAATTGGTTAAATGATTAATTTCTTTTAGGGGTCGTAACACGGGGTGTTACACTCTCCCCGCCTTAACAGAAAGCTTCGTCCCCGAAGCTTGGTCCTTGTCGAGTGACATCTTCTTAGTTACCTGGTGTGA